TCAGCAGAGTCCCTGTCCCCTCGAGCGCTGGTGGGGATAGATGAGTCTGTCTTCCGCTTCTAGGCTCCCATGCCCATATCTCCCCATATCTCCCCATATCTCCCCGCTTCTAGGCCCACATGCCCTGCCCGAGCTTCTCCTCGAGCTCGACGCGGCCGTACGCCGACTCATCCGCCGTCCGGCTGGCGAGAGCCTTTGCGCGCGCCTTCTCATCGCTCCGCCGCCGCTTCGCTAGCGTGGCTGACGCCTCGCCACCATCGCCCGCCCACGGCGCGGCTGGCTGTGTGCCGCCCGGCAGGATCGTGGTGTCGCCATTGGCCACGGGCGGCCGGCTGTCAAGAGCGGCAACCACCTGGTCCTTTGGCGTGTGGGGCACCGCCACCGGCTTGCCGCTCCCCACCGCCGGCTTGTTCACGGCGCTCAGGTTGAGCTTGAACCCCGTCGACGAAGACGACTTCTTCTGCAGCGGCGGCGCGGCGGCGGCGGGCGCGGCGGCGGCGAAGCCGCCCGATGCCTCGAGCGCCTCGAACGACTGTTTGTTCGAGATGCGCCACGCCTCGCGCTGCAGCCCCTCCGGCGAGTTGCGGTCGTACGGCGCCTCTGGCAGCGCGTAGGCCACCGCGCGCGCCTCTAGCTCCGTCAGAGTGCCGTCGATCTGGAGCGGCTTGAGGACGGCCGCCTTTGCAATGTCGAGCTGCGCGCGCGTGGCGCGGAGCATGCGCAGCGCCGGCCGGTCTAGGATCGCCCGCGCCAGCTCGGGCGAGCAGCCAACCTTCTCGAGCCCCTTTTGGTCCTTGGGCTCCACCAAGCCGACCTGGTGAGATATGGTGGGATATGGGGAGATATGGGGAGATATGGGCAGCCGACCTGGTGAGGTCATGAGCACAACCAGGGTGAGGGTGGGAGTACGGGTCCGGTCTGGTGCAGAGATGTCGGAGCACCGCGTGAGTACGAGGGCTGCGCATACGCGGATGCAGCCGAGAGCACAGCGGAAGACAGCGAGATATGGGGAGATATGGGGAGATATGGGGAGATATGGGGAGATACGGCGGAAGACGGCTGGATGCGACTCCTCTCGAGTGCGACTTGGGATACAAGAGTGCGTGTTGAGCCGCACGTGTATCACACATATCCCGCTGTACGCCGCTTCTAGCGGAGGCCTTGTCGGGGATGCGGCTGCGCAACTCGAAGTAGGCGGGGCGGTTCAGCTCGAGGTTGCGCTGTCGCGCGCCCGCTTCCTCCTGCGCCAACTTGCGCTGCACGCCCGGGTGCCCCTCGTACTTTGCGAGCACCGCTTGGAACTCGGCCGCCTGCGGAGCATGGCTGGGAGAGGTCATGCGCGGGCGCGCGTTCTTCTCCCTCCCACCCCTCACCCCAACCCGGCAACCACAGCCAAGAGCCAGGTCTGGGGCTGAGCATGGTCGCAATGATACAAAGGGCTGGGGCTCATGGCTGGGAGAGGTCATGCGGGCGTGGTGGCGGAGAGGGCGGGGGCGGGGGGGACGGCGACGGAGCTGGTGGTGGCGGAGAGGGAGGTGGAGGTAAGGGCGGAGGACTTGGTGGAGGTGGAGACGGCGGTGGTGGGGATGGTGGTGGCGGAGAGGGTGGTGGCTGGTGCGGCGGCGGAGGCGCGGACGGTGGCGGGGACGGCGGTGCATCTTCCCGCCCTCTCTGCCCCCCTCTCCATCCTCGCCTCGGCCGGCGCCGCTGCCGCCGCCTCGCGCAGCATGTCTTCCATGCGCATCGTGGCGACGTAGTCGGGCGGCTCGGGCGGCGCCCGGACGTTGCCGGCGGGCCGCCCGCCCTTGTTCGGCGGGGTGGCCGACGCACCCGTCACCATGCGCACCGGGTTGGGCACGTTGGCGTTCTGGTCTTTGGGCGGCGGCTTCCACTTTGGGCGCTCCGCAGCAGGCGCCCCCCCCTCGGGGACCCACTGGGGGGTCGCGGCACCCTTGGCAGGCGACGCAGCCGTCTTGCGGCCGCCGATCCAGCTCTTCTTCTTCTGCAGCGCCGGCTCGGACTGCGCGGGCGGCGGGCGGGCGGGCGGCGGCGCGGCGGGCCCCGCCGCGGCCGCAGCGCTCGGGGGCGCCAGCTTGGACTTGGCGCGGCCCGGCGCCTTTGGCCGGTTGAGCTGGGCCGTCTCGACCTCCCCGGGGGAGCGGTCTGCCGCTGCCGTGTACTCGTTAAAGACCCACGCCGGCACCGTGCCGCCCGTGATGGCGGCGATCGGCTTGTCGTCGCTGTCGCCGCCGCCGCCGCCGCCGCCGCCGCCGCCGCCGCCTCCTCCGTCCGCACCGACTGCCGGGCGCTCTAGCTCGGGCGCCTCTCCCGCGATGGCGCGAAGACCGGAATCGGCGTCTGCCGAAGCGGTGGCGAGGTTGGCGGCCGTCGCGCCGCCCGACGACTGTGCCGACACCACCGCATCGATCTGCCCAAAGAGGTCGTCCTCCTCCACGCCGCCTGTGGTGTCGGGCGGCGGCGGCGTCAGGCGGAGAAGAGGGCGGAGAGCAGTGTTGGCGTGCACGCGTTGTCGCCCCGGCGCGTGTGAGGGACTGGCTTGCTTGGCTCTTGCCGTGGTGCTTGCGTGGGACCGCTTGCGTGCGACCGCTTGCGTGCGACCGCTTAGCGTGGGACCCTCACCGTGCGGCGTCGCGTCGCTGCCCGTGCGCTCCTTCTGCTCCAGGGTCGGGCCGAGGAGCACAGTGCCCGCCGGCGCCTTGTGGGCCTCGGCCCGCGCCATCGCGCCCGCTCTCGCGCTCCCTGCGGGTCGCTCGACCCCGGGTGCGGGAACGGCGCCGATGCCAAAGCCGCCAGGCATCTGCTTCGCCGCCGCCGCCTTTGCTGGGCCGGCGGCCACGTTCCTCCGCAGCGTGTCTTGGATGTCGGAGATGGACCACGCCTTGAGCTGGTCCATCGGCCGATTGGTGGCCGCGCGTGCGCGCGAGCGCCTGTCGGCGGACACCTGCAGTGGGGGAGAGGAGCGGCTCACAGAGGAGCGTGCGGGGACAGCTGTACAGGCATCGGTGGGGGCTGGCTCGTGAGGCGTCGGTCTCGATGATGCACCAGTCTTCGGGCGCCTCCTAGACGCAGACTTTCACAACCTGACCGCGCGACACCGAAAGCTCACCCTCCGCCTCCGCCTCGAGTCGGTGAGCACGTGCGCGCGGAATGCCATTCGGAGGAATTGGGCAGTAGCCACGCCCACGCTGTCAAAAGCTGGCGGGGACTCCGGTCAGGGCCCTGACCACTGCCTCACAAGAGGATGCTCAACCACTACCGCCAGACCGAAAACATGCTCGTCTCGGGCCACAAGACCTGGCTCTGATTTGTCCAAGAGAACTTGTCATATCCCGGCTGCGCCGAGCAGCTCTTAAGGAGAGCCTCGCTCTACGAGGCCGCAGAGGAG